ATCATCATCATCAACATCATCATTAGACAAATTTCTATATAGAAACTCTACATTTTTACAGAAGATTCCTATTTCACGGTTGACGATAATGATGTAGTTTTTGCATCAATAATTCAGAAATTTTTTAGATAACATTCTTATCATCAAAATAAATTTAAAATGTGAGTTTTTTAAGGATAGCTCATAAAATGTGATATTTGTATCGTGTTGCTATATTTTTCATTATCTAGTTTAAATTTGATATGAATCAGTTTAATTTTTATTTAGGTATGTGGCTAGCACTAATCTTAAACACTAGGAAAGTAATTTACTTGTTTCACTAACATGAAAATCAGCTGTTTTTGAAAAAAGAGAAAAAATATTTGGTACATTTTTTACTGTGTATTTGTAACTATTTTGACTAGAAAATATTTTGTTGCGAAAATTATTTCGTTTTAAGTTGATGCAAAAGTGTACACTCTTTTGCAAAATACATTACAAATGTTAAATGTTTTATTTTGTGAAACATACTTTTTCTGAAATATTTTTGTGTCTTTTTTAATGCTATGATATTATTTTGTCGATTCATCTCATGAGGGTTTTGTTATAGCAATTTCTAATATATCTATGGTATAGAAACACTGCAAAAATTCAAAAAAAAAACAAATAACAGCGAATTATCTGCTTTATTGACAAATCTAATTAATTAAACATTCTTTATATAAAATTAAATGTTGCTTCTATTAAAATTTCTAGAAAAACAATTATCTCACACATGGCAAGTAGCATAGGACTGAGTAATATATGTTCTTTGTAAATTAAATGAACGAACTCTATTATTTCATTGTAATTATTGCAATACAGAGTTGATTAAACTTAGGCATCGTCACCATCTGTATAGAAATCATACTCGCAAGTAATGTTTCTATACAAAAAAATCTTGTTTACTCTGTTTATCAGCATCTTTATCATATTGCAGGGAGAGTTTTACTCTTTAAGTAAAATTTTTTTTCTATTACAAAATAAAAAGATATCTTTTATTAATTTATGAAATCTTATGCCTATTTCACCATAAATTGATTCAGCAGCATTATAAATTAGTTTACAATTCTCATCACTTGTAAAAAATTACTACCTTCTAACACCCATGCACACACAAACATTTTTCCTGAGTTTTAAGATTGGTTTCGTTTATACACAACCAATTTCAAGAACAAAAAAAGTATAAAACTGTTAGAGACAAAAAATATTTAATACAATATTGAAAACAAATAATTATTTTATATGTGATATAACAAAAAAACATATAAGGTGTAAAATGCATACGTTTCACAAAAACATTCAATTAAATCATAGATTTAGTTGAAAGTTTGTAATTATAGCTGAAGTGAAAGCGTTATAGTCAGGTCAGATTATCCTGCTACTGGTAACATGTAACCCAATACAACCTGGGTTTATGTCCTTCTGCCATGTAGGGTACGCTTTTTTAGGCAAATGCTAGGAGAAGTCAACTCCAACTTAAAACATCCCCTGCCTTGAGGCTTTTGGTTGAGTAAAGGCTATAGATGGTGTCTCAAAAAAAAACTTGTAAAGATATTAAACGCATCCACCTACTGTCTTGTAAAAGGCCTCCTAGGCAAAGGCTTAAGGGGTAAACAGATTCTATATGCTGACCAGCCTCGCACTCCTTTTTCATCTATTAGGCTGGAGCAGATATATTTATAATACATTGTTTCTAGTTTAGGATGTTAAATGCTGGATTATCTTGACTCAATGCATGGGTTTAGCTTGTGTCTCTATTTTTATGACAGGCAACTCACTCTATTATCTTTTAATACAGCTCTAAGACTCAGTTTTATGGTTTTAGAGGCCAGCTGGTAGTCAGGTTTCTGAATTCTGTGGTAGCTCTCAGAGAGGCTGATTCAATCAACAGCTTCATAATATCAGATTATTAACAGAGTCATGTTGCGCATGGATGGTATCCCTGTTTGTACTTTTGATGTGCATTGTCAAGGCCACATTTTGAGCCCTTTGTTACGGCTTAGGGTTTATTAATAATGAGGCAATTGTTTGGACTATTAAATATAGTACTATCTATGCTTTGACTTAAGTTCTTTAACAAATTTAAAAATTACTTTTTTTTTTAATTTCATTTTTTACTTTGCTGTTAAAATAAATTACAGATGAGTTTTATATGGCAAATATCAATAATTAAATATTTTAAAAACAGACAGGGACTCAAAAAAAAAAAGAGTTATAAAAATCCATTAAAAATATAAAAGTAATAAAGTAAAAAGATATAAAATAAACTAAAGACATAACAAGAAAGCAAATTACTTTTACAAATACAAAGATATTTTGCAATAACTATATTACAAATTTAGGTATTCAAAGATTTAAAAATTGAATACAAACATATACACAAAGATTTAATAATTAATATATTAAAAGACACATAACTTAAGTAACTTCTAAGAATAATAAGTAAAATTCAATAAATAAATTTACAAAATTTTTCTGGAATTATTATTCTGCAAAAATTAAAAATGTGTTTTTTTTTCTTGAAACTTAAATGAGTTTAATGATTTTACCATTATTATGCGTTTAATGATTTTACCATTGAGATTTTACCATTATTATGCGTTTAATGATTTTACCATTGCATTATTTTTTTAAAAAGAATTCCTTAACTTAGGTCCACGATTTGGTATTGAGTATGTATACTTATTTAATTTCCTTGGCAGTTTGAAGGAACTTGATTGATTTGTTCCTAAACATTTTTCACTTACATTTTTTTAAACCTACAAATAAAATTAGCTGGTTATTAACATATATTTAATATATTTTTTAAACCTACAAATAAAATTAGCTGGAGATTTTTTTAAACCTACAAATAAAATTAGCTGGAGATTTTTTTAAACCTACCATTAAAATTAGCTGGAGATTTTTTTAAACCTACCATTAAAATTCGCTGGAGATTTTTTTAAGCCTACAAATAAAATTTGCTGGAGATTTTTTTAAACCTACCATTAAAATTAGCTGGAGATTTTTTTAAACCTACAAATAAAATTTGCTGGAGATTTTTTTAAACCTACCATTAAAATTAGCTGGAGATTTTTTAAACCTACAAATAAAATTTGCTGGAGATTTTTTTAAACCTACCATTAAAATTAGCTGGAGATTTTTTTAAACCTACAAATAAAATTAGCTGGAGTTAGGTTATTTATATAATTATTCATGAAAATTAGGTGCTGCTAAAAAATTTCATCTACATCCATCATTTTCATATTTCTCATACTTTTTAAAGTTTTATTGGTTGTGTACTACCCATATAATATTAGAATAGTTAATGAAATAATGAATTAAAGAAAAGTATATTAACTTTAGACAAACTGTATTTACATATGGACAAACTCGGTACATCAGGTTAATATTATATATATAAGACAAGTATTCCTAAGTACTTTATATAGTCTTGCTTTTTTATTTGTATGTTATTTAAAAATAGGGCTGGTAATTTAAAGGGAAGATTTTCTTCTTGCATTATTTTATGAAATAAGGTATACTTTGTTTCTTCAACATTTAATGAGAGTTTATTTGCCATAAACCAGTCATTTATCTTATTTAATTCAAAACTCATGTCTGCATAAAGTTGTTTGATACTATTGTTAAAAAAAATAAGTTTAGTCATCTGCAAACATAATTGGGTTTAACTTTACTGATGCATTAATTAAGTCATTTATATAAACTAAGAAAAAGAGAGGACCAAGTATCGATCCTTGTGGTACTCAGGATTTCAAGTATAAAGTATCCTTGATATAGAACATGCTAATTTCTATCAGATAGGTAACTTTTAATCTAATAGTGTGTCATCAGATGGTTTTGGATTTTAAATCAATTATAGGTTGGTGACAAGGTTGGTGTAATTTTGTTACCAAGATGAAGTCCAGCATTTGTAAAATATTTATTAAACTCCTCAGATATTTGTTTAGGGCAGTTTATATCAGTATTTTTGTTTTGTTTACATTTTATTTAAGTTTTGTTTACAATTGTTTATGTCAGTATTTTTGATATTGAATCATTTTGATAATGGTAATATTGATTCATTTTGATAATGGTAATATTGATTCATTTTGATAATGGTAATATTGAATCATTTTGATAATGGTAATATTGATTCTTTTTGGTATGACTAAAGTACTAAAAAACATAAAACACAAAAAACCATTGTCATCACCAAGTTCTCTAAACCTATCATTTACTAATATTCATGGTCTTCGAAGAAAATTTTCTTCTGTTGAGTCTTTTGCAAAGTTCACCAGACCAACTTGCTCTTTGTGAGACTAATTTGAGTTCAGCTGTCTCATCTTGTGATCTTAGTGTTGATGATTATCTTCCTTTAACTCATAAAGATTCCAATAGTCACATGCTTGCCATTGGCATTTAAATTCATAAAAATTCACCCATTTGTCAAAAAACTATTCTTTAATGTGGTTTTGTTTAGAACCACTCTACTCTATCGCCTTTCTCTTTGTTCTATATCGCTCTCTCTCATCTCAAAAATACACTCTTTTTGATATTATTTATGATCAAATTGACCAAGCCCTCTCTCTTTTGTCATCAGTCAATATCGCTATTGTTGCTTTTAATGTTCATCAAACTGAATGGTTTGGCTCTAGTGTCAGTGACTCTGCAAGCGTTAAGGCCCACAACTTTTGCCTTCTAAATATTTAACTCAAATAGTCAACTTTCCAACTCGCTTTCTAGGCAATCTGAATCATTTACCTTTTCTACTCAACTTATGTCTTGTTTCTGATCCTAGTCAGTGCTTAGTTTCTCCACATTTACCTTTAGATCACGGTATGATCTCTCTAAAACTATTATCCCATTCTTTTTCATCATCGGAATCGCCCTATTATTGTTCCTCTTACAACTACCTTAAAAGCTGACTGTGACTCTTTCTGCGATTTTCTTCATGAAGGCCCTTGGGTAGAAATCTTTCCTCTTCCTGCTGACAAATGTGAAATTAACAAACACTTAATCACTCATCTTGAAATTAATAACTTACTTTCTGATCATCAAAATGGATTTCAATCTTATCATTCTACAGCTGATTTGCTAACAGTAATAACAAATAGGTTTTATCGTGGATTAGATAAATCTATCACTCTTGTCATTTCTAAAGCTTTTGATAAAGTTTGGCATGCTGGTCTTCTCCATAAGCTTTTTTCTTACAGTGTATCTGGCAACATCTTTAAATTTATTGAATCCTTCCTTTCCAATCATAGTATAAAAGTTGTTTTCGATAGATAACACTCTTCTTCTTATCCTGTAACTTCAGGGGTTCCTCAAGGTTCAATCCTTGGCCCTATACTCTTTCTAATTTACATTAACAATCTTCCCGATATTCTCATATCTAAGGTGGCAATGTTAACTGATGATATTTATTCTTGTCATGATAAGAAGTCAACACTCTCTGATTGCTCGGATTGCATTTAAGCTTAAAAAAGATTTCAGATTTGCTACAGCATGGGTCTGACAGTGGCTGGTGAACTTTAATTCAGATAAAACTTTTTATCAGCCAATCTTTATCGCAATAACTTAGATCTTCCTATATTAATGAACGGTGATGTTCTCAACAAGTCATCTAACCTTCAACTTCTAGGATTAACTCTTATTTCCTATCTTTCTTAGAAACCCTATATCAAATACATTGCAAAATTACCATTTGCTAAGGTTGCATCTCGTTATCGTACTTGACACTTTCTTACTCCGGATTTTAATCTCTATTTCTATAAATCTCAATTCCGGCCTTGTATGGAATACTATTGCCATATCTGGGGCAGATCTTCTAATGATGCCGTTTTTCTTTTAGACAAGGTGCAAAAACACATTGTAAACATAGTTGGACCTGCTCTTGCAGCCAATTAATATCACATTGTCATAATGTTGCTTCTCTTTCTCTTTTCTATAAATACTATAATGGGCACTGTTCTAAAGACCTAGCTTCTCTTGTACTATCTACTAAAATTCGTTCTCATGTTACTTGTCATTCAATTAAGTCTCATCCTTTTTCTGTGACTGTTCCAAAGTGTTCCAAAGTGCTCTTGTTGGAAGCAAGTGGTTGTTTCAGTAACTTCCAACTCAAGGCTGCAAGCAAGTGGTTGGTTGCTTGCAGCCTTGTTGGAGTCAAAGATGTCAAATATATATATATATATATATATATATATATATATATATATATATATATATATATATATATATACATACATATATATATATATATATATATATATATATATATATATATATATATATATACATATATATAAATATACATATTTATATATTACATATATATAAAATATACAATGTATGTATGTATGTATATATATACATATATATATATATATATATATATATATATATATATATATATATATATATATATATATATATTCATATTTATTTTAAAATATATGATATATATAAACAAGGATGCAGATTGCCAAAAAAGTCTTAGAATTTGAATGCCACATAAAAGATTAATTCTTCCTAGTTTCTTCTTATCTAGTAATATAAAAAAATTTGGACTTTTAGAGGAACAATCACTTTTTGAACACGGAGTCTATAGGTATAATGGCGACAAGGACTCCAGGACTCTAGGACTCCAGGCTTAAAAACAATGTTTTTAAAAAATATATTTATAACCTCATGCATAGCACTTTTTTATTTTCTGATAATATTACTCTGTGGAAAAAATATTAATGGCTGAACTAAATCAATATAAATGGTGAATGGCAATTTAATAAAAAAATCTCTTTATAGAAACTCTACCTTACGATGTAGCTTTTCTATACATAATGTGTCAGATTTCTATACATTTATGTAGTATTTAAATACTGCGTTGAGTTTCTATACAAATTTGTTGTGTTTCTATACAGTTTTTATAGAAACTCTATTTGCCTGATAAAACCAAACAGTTTGATTGAAAATCATTTTGACATGATAAAACCTACAGTTAGGTTGAAAATTATTTTAACATGATAAAACCAACACAGTTTGATTGAAAATCATTTTGTAATGATAAATTCTACACACATTGATTGAAAATCATTTTGACATTGCAAAACCTACACAGTTTGAGCTATTAAAACAAAATAATTTAGCAAATTTTCATTAAAAAAATTTAAATATTTTAAAGTTAAATATAAATAACAATATTTACCGCAGTGTGAAGTATGCTTCTTCCCAGGCAGAAAATAGTCCTATTTCATGATACTGTAAATAACCATTTTTTAATACTAAAAAACAATGCAAAGATTACATTAGCTGTAACATCAGCTTCACAATAACTATATATATATATATATATATATATATATATATATATATATATATATATATATATATATATATATATATATATACATACATATATATATATATATATATATATATATATATATATATATATATATATATATATATATATATATATATATATATATATATAATAAAAAAAAAAATTTTGAATTTATAATATTGCGCACTATGTCAATCCTTCTTATTTGGTCCCAGTAGACCACCATAAAAATATCTGGGCTCAAAGTCACTGTTTAGCTGAAGGTATTTTAGAATAAACTTGCATATATATTTTAATGAGTTTTTTTCAATTTATTGATTGAAAATGCGGTTGTATTCAATATTTTTATAAAACTATTAAATTAACTTAAAGTTTATCATCCAATTCAATAATTCTGACTGCTATACTTACTGCATCTTAGAAAAAACTTCATAATTATTTTATTCTTTATTACTATTTCATTGTTTCAAAATGTTTTTTAAAATGAAATACTACAGAACACAAAAAAAAATTATGTATTGCAAGACTTACTAAACTTTTGTTGGAAAAAATATATTTCAAAAACAAAAATATAGCCATAAAGTGCTTTTTTTATCGAAAAGTCTTGTTTAGTGGCACATTTAGACAACTTTCGTCAGTTGTCTAAAACTAACATCACCGTGTCTTGGAGCCTGTCTTCGGAGTGTGTCGTTCCAATGAAACCTTGTACCAATTAATTGTGTTTTCCAGCCCTGACATTAACAACTGTTAATTGATGTACACCGGACACAAATGTCTTGAAAGATTTTTTATTGTGATTTTTCTCTAAATTTGACATTCCTTCTTTATTCCATGAAAAAATGTCATCTTTGGTTATACCAAGATGGAGAAAAAAAAGATAAGACTCCAGATAAACAAATTCTGGTAGCTTTGTAAGGAGACAGACCTGTGTAAAAAATTCTGGTTGTTCTTTGTCAAAGCTCTTTATCTCTGGAACATCATATCTTAACAGTTCCACAAAAATTTCCATCCTTGCTTTCTCATCTAAGCACTGCACAGTGGAAAATAAAGGTCTGTTTTAGATCAAAAATTAATAACTTTTTTGTTACTAAAGAAAAAGTGTTGAAATTTTGCACAAATGTAGAGTAGTATATGGGGCTTCTAAGAAAATATTTTTTGTTAAAAAAAATTTAATATAAAACTTGTAAATAAAAATCAAAAACCTCACAATTTTCATTTTTTTTTTACTTTAACTAAACATGTTCTTTTTAATATTATTTAAAAACTAATGTATAAGAAATGTATTAGAAACGACAAAAAAATGCTTATTTATTTAGAAAATATATTAATATTAAATTTATATAATAAAAAAACATTTATACAAACTTTTGGCTAATCTCTAGACAAAAAAAAAAATGTGCTTTTTAATTTTTAAACAAAAATTTTCCTTATATTAGGTTTAATTGCTTTACTAATTTGATTTTTTAATAGTTGTGTGTAATTAATTAATTTGCATATATTTAAACATTTATATGATTACATGACATATATTTTCAAGAGTTTATAAAATGCTTATTATAGCAATATTCAGAAAAGTTTATTAATAACAACTTTTCTACAGTGAGTTTTTATGGAATAAATTATCGACTTTCAAAAGTCGACTTTCAAAATCTGTAAAGTATTTTCATCAAGTTCTTGGACATTTTTGCTGTACGTTTTTCTAATGCTGGTGATCTAGGGATCGGAAGTGTACAGAAGAGTATGAAATACGTACTCATTTGTAGCTAATCTAGAACATTTCCTGGCATGATGAAGGCGAAATTTTTTATAATCTTTATTACGGGATTCTTGCGCATCTTCTGAAAGTTGCCTGATAGGCAGTACTGCAAAATGTTTTATGACATTTTACTGAAGACGGCATAAAGTATCAGCTATAATTACTCGCATAAATGTGGGTAGTTTCTATAGCATGTCCCAAAACTTTCAGCATTTATCATAGCACCTGAGGAGACTGCTTGTAGAATTATGTAAAGTGGCTTAATCAAATTTTTATTTACTCCAGTGATTTCAGAAGGGCAGCTTGCATTGTAAAAAAATCTCCTAGCAGTATTACCATCATTGGTATTACCACTTACTTGTTTTGGTTTGTCAACGATTGACCCTAGCTGCTCACGAAAACGCTTCTATATCAAGGTCTTTTTCTGTTTCTTTTGTGTGTTTTTTTTTTCACCTTTAGCTTACCCTGTTTGAAAAAACAGGTTGTAGGAAATATGTAATATCATTTCCATACACCAAATCCAGGCATGTAATGTCAACAGTCCATATTGATACAAACTTTCATTTTCAGGCCTAGCAGACACTTTAGTCAAATCATTCATTTGTCTTGGAGTAGCTCCATATATTGTACAACTTTTGTTAATTATAGATGGCTGTAAAGAGTATATTTGGCTTTTTATTTCGTCTACAACAATTTTAGTTTTCTCAGGAGTCTCTTTGCAAAATTCTATGCATATAGGTCGACAAAAACGTACAGATGAAGGAGCTGGATTTTGCCAAACAACTATGCCAGTTACTTCATCAACTAATTTGATCGATACCAAAGAACTAATAAATAAATTTGCACCAGAAATAAGTTCAGACTCCATCGGAAGTTTCTGCTTGTACTAGCTTTGGCCAGAGGAGCCATCACAACCCCATTTACTATACAAAATTAATTGTCTAAATTTATTATTGTATACGGAACCTGTAGTCAAAATTCTATCTACAGTGTGATCCAATAAATCTTGCAGTTCCATAAATTTTGCATGTGTGTTTATAATTTTTAATTGCACAAGATGGTGGATACCAAGTTTTTTTAATTTCTTGCAACTTGTAATACGGTGGGAATAAGGAACATTTTTTTTCATCTGTCAACTTTCTCAAGTGTAAATATTGTGCTTTAGTTAAATCTAAAATAACAAACACGCTAAGTGCTTCTTCATCTGTCAGTAAAACGCTTGTCTTTTCCATAAAACTCGAGACAGAGACCTTTTTTTCTTTTTCGGCAATCCTTAATGCTTCCACAATCTTTGCTTCTGTTTCTTCTCCTGAACATAATGTCTGAAGATATGCATTAAAGATATGCTTGAATCCAATTTCCTTAAATAATGTGGAATTTTTTCTTTTTTTACTGGTCTCTGACAAATCTCCATAAGACATGCATGATCTTCCATATTTTTCAAATGATCTAGATGGCGTGGGTTCTGTTTTTCAATTTTGCGTTTTTCAACTTTGGTAAAAATACACTATATTCCAAATCTAACCAATTACTGTTGTTAGATAAAAAAGCATCCACTTTCTGTGACGCCTTGGTCCATCATTTATTAAACAGCGGAATAATGTTCCTTTGAATATCACTAACAATGAAACACAAGCTATCCTGAAAGTATTTAATTTCCACTGTGAATTTGTTGCAGTTATATAAATATTTCAACTCTTTATATAATATTTTTTAAATGATGCAGTGTTCACAAATTGTTGATAAAGTTTTTGCCACAAAATGCAAAAATAAATGAATGTATGTCTATCAAAATTAATTCTCAATAAAAACTAAACAAAAAAGTAATTCGTCAGCAGGTTTTTCATCCTTTCCTCAGCTTCATTAACTATTTCAGTAAATGTTTTTTCATTTTTGTAAGAAATCTTGATCATGTCCCCTTTCAAACATCTTTTTAAAAAAATTGAATCCTCCTTTACAAGCCTCTCTACTCCTTCTAGGATCATAGCTAATTGACTTGAAAATGTCTTCCTTGTGTATAGGACACAAAACATTGGCTTTGTCTAAGGACTCAAGTATGTTGGCTCATGGTGTCTTTGCTCATCTCTAGGGTTCTCACCTTCAAAACTTTAATATACTGGGTATACAGAGCAATGATTCTATTCTTAAATGAAAAAAGTTACAACATTCAAAAAATCTCAATATTTTGAAATATAGCATAAAAACTTATATGTAAATATATTTCACAGATAAATATGTTTCACAGAATACTTAATTTTTATGACAAGAGATTTTTATATTCAGTCACCTACTTAATCTACTGTTCACTCATGATAAAATTTTTATCAAAGCCTGCCTTGTTCCAAATGTTAATCAACTCTCTTGTAAACCACAAATTTGATATTTTGTTTCTGCGATCAGCATAACACATACCACCACTGCATTTAAGTTTGCCTGTACTTCCCAGAGGACATCCAATTTTAGATGACAATGTTTTGATTGCAGTTACATGACTCCGGTTAGCCCGGTAAATTCTGCAACAAACTTTCCCACTGGTTAGAAGCCTATTTAAAGAAAATATCTGGAGAGGGTACCTCAAGAGATAAAGAATTCTTCTTCGACTAGCTTTTCCAATATGCCCTGCACTAGCCATATTTAATATTATTTTCTATAAAATACAACAAAATTGATCACAAAATATTCAATGTTTTTACATATATTTTACATATAAGTAAAAATAACGAAATTAATTTTACTCAAATTAGAATTAAGTATCAGTATAGAATATATACTGCTGCTGTTTTACAACATTCTGATAATTGATAAATTATTAAAAATTCATTTCGCGTATTTCTAAATATATTTGCAATTTTAATTATAAAATGCAAAAAAAAAACTCCGCTAACTCATTCAAATGTATATAACTTTTTTCTAAAACACCTTCTTTAGCTTAAAAATGACTTTGAGGCCCGGTGTTTTGTCTAATGGCCTACTGAGACCAAATAAGGAGGATTTACATAGTGCACAATATTAAATTTGAACGGTATCTCTCTCTCTCTCTCTCTCTCTCTCTCTCTCTATATATATATATATATATATATATATATATATATATATATATATATATATATATATATATATATATATATATATATATATATATATATATATATATATATATATATACATATATATATATATAT